CTTTAGAGATGTCGGCGCTTATCCGGTGTTGCTCCTCCTTATCCCATACTTCCGGCGACCGACCACCGCCGCGCGACAAGTCACGAGTTCGAGGTTAGTTCATAGTTCACTCGTTAAATCAGATTTTCGATTCAGAGTATGTGTGTTGCTTTGTGAGTGATCCTGGTTTGGTAATGAGGCATCAGAATCTCGGAGGTTTTTAGAATTTTGGTTCAGAATGATTATGTTTAAGCTATTTTTTGGCAGAGAGAACTGGAGAAATGAGTACTTGGGCTTGGGATTTTAGAGTTCTGTGGTATAGATCACGGACAGATTGATGACACTAGTGTGTAGTTTGGTAACTTTGGTTATGCTCAAATCTTATAAGCATGTTTATTGTGATATCAATGTTGTATTTTTTTTGTTCTTGTTGAGTTCTTTGTTGTCATTTTCATACATTTCAATATGGATGTTCCAAGAAGAGACCGAATACTTGCATTTCACCAGTAGATAGGTAGTTAAATGAGCTTAGAAAGAAACGAATATAGTGGTTTTCACGGCTTGTGTGTTTGCATTCGTAAAAGTTGCTCTTGCTCGTATCTTTGATATTTTCTTGTTGGCTCAATTCAATAAAATGGACAATTCTTTGGTCGTTTATGAAGTCATCTTACCGGATTCCAGGCATTTCGCCTTTGCTTTGCTCGGATATTGGGAAATTTGCTACATCTATTGGCTACTCAGTAGCCAGAAAACCTGTGGATCATCATCCTTTCTCCAAGATTAAACATTTGTCTGCAAAGCCCAAGAATCATGAAGGCAAGGAAATCTTACAAACACCATTTGCCAGTGTGGAAGCTCTCGACAAGTTGTCAACTTTTGAGGTATGTTGGTGAATTCCAGGAATGTTTAGCTATATGCAGCTAAAACCTATGAGTTTCTGTTCCTTGAATACCAGGATAGTGTTTTGACTCAGTTTTTTTCTGTTGTCAAGTTTTTTTTCCATTGTGTTAGTAAGCCTTTTTAGACATAGATGTGGCAGGGAATTGGAAAGCTCAAATTACCGGTGATGGCAGTGTTGTTGACAAACTCCCTACTGATGAGTACACCACTTGAAGCTTTGGCTGCTGAGATATGTGAGCCAGAGAATTCCATGTTCAGCATGCCAGTTTTGTCGCTTGTAGCTCTTGTTGGTGCCACTGTTGGAGGTAGTAATGTTCCCTTTCTTTAATATATACTTCTACGAACTGTATTCATTGGGGTTTTGATAACACTTTTTGTGGTTCACTAACCAGGGTTGCTTGCTCGGCAGAGGAGAGGGGAGTTACAGAGGTTGAACGAACAACTACGACAGATTAACGCAGCTCTTAGGAGACAAGCGAAAATCGAGTCTTATGCACCAGGCTTAAGTTATGCCCCAGTGGGAGCAAGAATCCCAGAGAGTGAAATCATTGTGGAACCAAAGAAACAAGAGTTGATTTCCAAGTTGAAAACAGGAAAGACCTTTCTGAGGAATCAAGAACCTGAGAAAGCTTTTGCAGAGTTCAAGATAGCTTTGGAACTTGCCCAGAATCTCAGAGACCCCATCGAAGAAAAGAAGGCTGCTAGAGGCTTAGGCGCTTCGCTGCAACGTCAAGGAAAGTATAGAGAAGCCATACAGTATCACTCCATGGTTCTAGCCATCTCGAAGAGAGAAGGAGAAGAGTCTGGAAGCACTGAAGCATATGGAGCTATCGCAGACTGTTATACTGAGCTGGGAGACCTTGAGAAAGCTGGAAATTTCTATGACACTTACATTGCTCGGTTAGAGACGGACTGATTCAGCCGCATTGTCTGTTTGTTGTGTTCATGTTAAGTCACACAAAATAGATATCCAAATCCCTTTTATTGAATGTAATTTGCTTGTCTTACAATCCATGGGGATACATAACTAAGCATACAACTGCAGATGAAACTTTATATAGATAACTTAAGT